GATGCGAGGAGCACTGAGGTGCGGATTGTTGTTGTTGAACGAGTGTGTTGGGGTGACGATCTCTCAATAGCACGGCGGATTGCTCGTGCCTGCTTGATGGCGAGAGTCGGATGTTGTGGTCGTAACGAGCGAGTGGAAAGCTGGTTATGCAGCCGTGTCGTGGTTGCCAGGAGAGACGCGCGGCGAATCGGCGCTTGTCAGTCGCTGGGGCAAAAGTTGGAATTAGGCTGGAAGAAGTGGCGGGTAGCGGCTCTCCTCTTTAAGCGTCGAGAGAGCTGTCGGCGAGTACACTACACAGCCTCAACGCAATGAAACGAGAGGCAATGTAGAAGAAAACGGACACGGGGGGAAGAAAGGGTGGGTGAGTGAGCGACAGTGTAGAATGCGGAAGGGCAGGCAAAGAGCTTTTTAGCAGCTTCCCCTGAAAATGAGAGGCACGACCGCCAAGCTAGCCTAACGCCGTCAGAGACGCTGCGCATGGGTCCCCTTCGCTAGCATTCACTTCCCGATATTGAGTCGCCCCTCTAAAAACGGTATCGGAGATCATGGACATATGCACACTACAAAGATGCACGATTGCGCTCACTCGAGCTACAGATGCTCTGATCTGCTGTTCCCGCTGCTCCTCCCAGCCTCTCTGCTCTCGTCTCCCAGGGCGGTGGCGCGAGTTTTCTGGGAATGGAAACCAGACTACCATGGGATCTCCGATCTGGTTGCATATCGATAATACCTTTTCCCGAAGATACCAACAAAGACATTGCCCACTCTGCTTGCCCTCAACCGGTTCAGATGCAACATCGCTTTGGGTGAGTCGGCTGACAGCTGGATGCTTCCACTCTCTCTTGCCTTCCTCCGCTTCTGCTTGCCTTTCACGCTCGTTGCCTTCGTCATGGCCTTCACGTCACGACTGTTGCCCCCAGCCATAGACAGAGGCTGCACCGCACGGTGCCAGAGGCCCGCGCTGATCAGACAACGACTAGCGACCCGGCAGACCAAATCATTCCCGCCATCTTCGCCCGCTGCTCGACCGGCGCGATAGCGACGATAAGTTTCTTATCTGACATCCAATCGCGACGTGGCGCGCTTCCGCAACGCCCTAGCCCTAGCTCATCTTGAGGTCAACGGTGCTTGGTGTCGCAATGCATAGGGGGCTGACGGCCGCCAATCGCTCCTAGTGCTTCTGTTGAGTCTGCCACCACACCCGAGCACACCGGATGCTCAACGCCCCCCAGTCCTTTTGCGCGCCGCGCTTGTATGTTTTGCTTCAGAAGTCCCAAAGCCGCTGTCACTTTGCACAGATGTGATTCTCCTGAGTCGTGCATGAACCTGAACGACACCGCACTATGACGGAATCCCTCACCGCACGCAAATCAAATCGACATGGGCCCTAGCATAAGTGAGCTATATTAGGCTGCCCGGTTTCCAACGTCGACTGCATGGCAAGGCAAATGAGCCGGCTACGGCTCCAGAGCGAACAACTTGGAAGCTACCATAGTAAGGCTGGGCTGGCAGTTAAGCTCATGATTACGTCTGCATGCAAACTCTGTTCATGTTTCCCTCGAGCTTACAACAGCCCTATCGATACATAAGTAATCGCGCACCATCCTTGACAGGCACCGCAAGCCATGAATGCAAGCATTACTCTCAAACGCTGTCGGGGGTGCCAGCTGCCGGCCCGAAGCATTGCCGCCATGCCATCGTGATGACCAATGGCCGCCTGGGCCCGCGTCGCAGACACCGAACACCAGCTCAGCTGCATCTGTTGTGTGCGCATCATATTCCATTGGCCGCCTCACGGCTCGAGCGACTTTGCCACACCTACGCCTATGTTTCAGCTGCACAAACTGCGTGTCGTGTGCCTCCCGCGCGTCAAATGCCGCTCTCGGTGAAACTCTACGAGGCTGTGCAACCAAGCATAGACGACCTTTGTCCATACTCACGAGATCCCCATCCCCAAGGCTATGATCCGCAGCCTCGACTTCCGCCGAACTTCTCGTATATCCTCATACGACGCACCGGGACCGTTCGGCACGCGTACCTTGACATCTGAAGAGATGCACTCCAATTTAGCAACATGATCCGCAGTGGGGCATCAGGCGGCTTCTTGGTGGGGTACATGAAATTGGGTGTACGTATGCGTCGAGACCGCGATTCTCGACTCCGAGCCGCGCTGACAATTCGCAATTGCTATGATGACTTTAAAAAGTGTTTTGAAAACAGGCCGACTTTCGCGTTAAACATATGGTCAGATGTCGATTATCAACATGACATCTTGACAGTTGCTGCTGGTGCAATAGAAGCATAGAAGGTCTCGAAGGCAGGCGCTTGGACCAGTAATTGCGAAACAAGCCTAGTATCAGGGGTACAGGTGAACCTCGCTGATCCCTCTTGGAATGCTTGGTTCACCATACATTTCTTCACTCATTGTGCCTCAGAGTCGTTTCTACACTCACTTTTCTGTTTTACCAGTCTGTCTTTACGTCCTTGAATAATTTGTTTTTCGCATACAGCCTCATTCGCTGTTGCGCCACACTCTTTGATCTCATTGCACCTGCTCAAACAACTTCTCTACACTCTCTTAAACGTGATTCTCGGCGAATCAACCCAAGCTCTCGCCAACACCACCACCGTTCTTGGAAGCAGTCTTATACTATTATTACCAATATGCGCGGAATTTTTGCTACAGCGGCCCTACTCGCAGGCGTCCAAGCCGCCGTTGACCCCATTGTCATCAAGGTATGATGTCGTGCGATAGGTGCGACTTCCATGTCTAACAATGCCCAGGGTCAGAAGTTTTTCCACAAGAACAGTGGTGAACAATTGTAAGAGACACCAAGACACCAAGATGAAGCCAAGCTAACAACTAGACAGTTTCATGAAGGGTGTTGCATACCAACGTACGCGCCCAGTACTATCCTAATCGCATAGCACACTACTTACACGACGCAGAGGAAGTCAACTCCAACTCCACAGCCGCCTCAACCGACGAGATTGACATCACCGACCCCCTTGCCGACTCTTCAGCATGCAAGCGCGACATTGCGCAGCTCAAGAAGCTCCAGACCAACACCATCCGTGTGTACGCCATTGACCCTAAGAAGGACCATGAGGACTGTATGACACAGCTTGCAGACGCCGGCATCTATGTCGTAGCCGATCTATCTGAGCCAGGAATGTCTATTAACCGTGACGACCCCGGTTGGACTGTCGAACTGTACGCCCGTTACACCAGCGTCGTTGACGAGATGATGAAGTACGACAACACCCTCGGTTTCTTTGCTGGAAATGAGGTCAGCAACCAGCCCAACAACACCGTTGCCAGCGCTTTCGTCAAGGCTGCCGTCCGGGACACCAAGGCCTATATCAAGAGCAAGAACTACCGCGAGATTGGTGTCGGATATGCTACCAACGACGATGCTGATATTCGTGAGAACATGGCCAACTACTTCGACTGTGGCGACTCTGACAGTGCCATCGATTTCTGGGGTTACAACATCTACTCGTGGTGTGGTGACTCCTCATTCACCGAGTCCGGTTTCGATGTCCAGACCAAGAACTTCGAGAAGTACAATGTCCCAGTCTTCTTCGCTGAATACGGTTGCAACACTCCTCGCCCTCGTAAGTTCACTGAAGTCAAGGCTCTTTACGGCAAGGACATGACCGGTGTCTGGTCCGGCGGTATTGTCTACATGTACTTCGAGGAGGAGAACGAATTCGGTAAGTTCACTGATTTTCCGACGTATGATGCTTCTAACAACTGTCAGGTCTTGCTTCCATCAAGAACGGCAAGGTTGAGACCAACGAGGACTTTGACAACTTGTCCAAGCAAATCGCCAAGGCCACTCCCGTCGGCGTCAAGATGTCTGAGTACAGCCCTAGCAACACTGCTGCTGCCTCGTGCCCCAAGGTTACATCTGGCAAGTGGGAAGCCGAGTCTGACCCCCTCCCTCCTGTCGCCAACGCCAATCTTTGCTCGTGCATGATGGAGACTCTTAGCTGCCAAGTCGCCGACGACACCGAGGAGAAGGATTTCGGCGACATGTTCAGCTTCCTCTGCGGTGAGAAGGATGGCGAGTACTGCCAGGGTATCAACAAGAACGCCACTGCCGGTCCCTACGGTGTCTACGGCATGTGCTCCAGCCGCGAGCAGCTCTCTTTTGCTCTCAATGCCTACGCTAAGAAGGTCAGCGGCGGCTGCGACTTCAAGGGCCAGGCTACCACCAAGAAGGCCGTTGCTAAGCCCACTGCTTCCGGCTGCTCTGGCCTTCTCAAGGACGCTGGTGTTGACGGCACCGGTTCCGTCTCTGGCGCTGCTGCCAAGGCTACTGGTGGTGCTTCTGACTCCAGCTCTGCATCTGGCTCCGCTGGTGCCGCGTCTGGTCTCTCTGCTCCTCACTTCACCAACGGCGCTTTCGGCATGGGTCTGTATGTTGTTGCCGCTGTCGCCTCCGGAATGGCCATGATCTTGTTGTAAGATCTAGGATTGAGTAGTAGACGTGGTAGAGATGGCTCGACTTGACATTTATCTTGCATAGTTTGCGTTGGGTTGCGCTTATTCCCCTTGGGTTCGCTGGCATCATCTTGAATGTATGTCCCAGAAGAGTACTGTGGTTTTCTTTGGCTTAGGTGAAATTATAATAGTTTGACTATACTTTCTGTATGGTACACATTGAAATGAGACCTTAGCCTGTCCGAAACAAGATACTGGATCGTTTGAATATCTGGCTTAATACCATGTTGTGAAATTGTGTCCCCGTATAACCTCAAGGAAATGGCTGATTTTGGAATTATCTGCAATGCGTTTTGGTCTAGTAGTTCGCGCACGACATAAAAGTACGTTAATGTACAGAATCATACTTAATCAGACTCTTGAAAACCAGACCATTCGCACATCACGCTGTCACATTAGATATCAGATTAAAAAACATTTACACTTTGATATTGACTGCTACCACATCGTTTGGTTGCTGACACGCGTATGTGTTTGATGCGAGAGGCCATCAATACCTTTCCACCAGAAACACTCTCCGCTCGCCATCGCCCATATCCCCCAACATCTTTGCTTCCTCGCCCTTCATATATAGATATGCCTTCAAAAATGCGGGATCCAAAGCCTCGTTAAGTGGCATATCCGCTCTCAGCGATGTGACAGCTTCTTGCATGCTTCTTGGCAACCTTCTCATAACACCAAACTCCGCCCGCATCTGCTCGTCCATGGTCGAAGGGTTAACTTGGATGTCTTGTTCCGGGAAAGAAGGTTCGTTCGCAGCGAGACCGAGTAGACCAGCGGCGAGAACAGCAGAAAGAGCAAAGTACATGTTTGCAAATCCGTCAAGACAGCGAAGCTCCCAATGACCTGGAGATATGCGTCGGAGTGGCGTTTCACGGTTTTGGGTCCCCCATGCTACCTTTTTCCAAGTGTCAGTTTATTTATACATCTAGACAATATGGTAAAGGGGCAATAGGTATCGTCAAAGCACAAAACAGAGAACGTACCCATGTTCCGCCTGTCCAAGAGTTTTCCGTTACGCGTTCGTAACTGATTTCCTCGGGCATGCTAAACGCACAGATGGCAGGCAAGTGCTTCAAGACACCTCCAACGAAGAACTGCATATCACGCTCTGGTGGGTGCAAGCTGATGTGCGCATGAGCCGCCGTACCAATGCCTTCAAAGGGCTTGGGATGAAGCGTCGCACGTAGCCCATGCAGACTAGCTATCTGAGCGATGACCTGTCTGGCCTGGAGAAGCGTGTCAATTGCAAGGAGAGGAGGATGGGGCGGAAGTACGAATTCATACTGTCCCGGTCCTGATTCGGCATGGAATTGCTGGACCTCAATACCCATGTCCTCAAGTGCCAGAACGATTTCGCTAAGGAAGGGAAGCTGAAGCCACTGTTCTGGCGTTAGTGTGCCCCATGCGTGGGTTTTTGTCAGGGGTGCTAAATCCGGGCGTATAAAGTCAGTATATGTCGCATATGCAGTTTGTATGGGTATACTGACAATAGGGCTCAGCTTCGAAAGGGTTGGTTGATGCCGAAGGGGGGTTTCGGGAAAGAAACGTGACTTCAATTTCAAACCCGGTAAGAAGTGTTGTGGCGTAGTTGTACTGGAGGTCATTGATAAGCGTCTCAAGGTTGTTCCGCGGGTCTTCTGGAAGCGCAGAACCATTTTCCGTGCGCCAGTAACTGAGTACTGTTGCAGCGGGCAGCGGATCTTTGTTGTGCGTTCTGCGGAGAGAACGTAAGTCCGGCTCGACGTATATCTGGCCCGTCGTATTTGTGACGGGCGTTATGTGGTCATTTTGAAGGGTGCCCATGTTTCCCTGGGATATACCGATACGTTCCCCTTCGGTTATCATGCGAGTAAACTCCTTGATGGGAACTATGCGGCTACGGATTGTGGCCATGTAATCAAGCCATTGTACGTAAATGAACTTCACTGTGGGATTCTTCTCCTTGAAATCGTCAAACAGCTGGATATCGTAGACTTGCCTGAAGATCGGTGTACGAGGTCAGTATTTGTCTCACATATAGTTCGTACAGACATTACTTACGGTGCCTTTGGTGGTGGAGGGAAAGCTGGCTGTGTGTACGGAGAGACTGATCGAGTAGCTTGCGCATTGGAAGCTGAGGACCGGTTGGGAAAGCCCATGGTGGGTATCGGTGTTACTGCTGGAGACTGATAAGGCGAAGCTTCGACTGGCTTCGGGTTGTATGTGAGCTGCTTTGGATCTGCCTGTACTGTTTCATCGAAGAAAGCCTCGTAGCGTAAGTCGTATAGCACATTGGAATTGTTGAACATGATGTCTTTCGTCATGCCAATCGCTTGATGCGGTGTTAGGTCGCCTTTCTGGATGTACTCTACGAGTAGCTGTATCAATTAGTATGGGCAAGCAGGCGATACGGTACATCAACAGACTCACATCGAGCCAGACTTCGCGGAACTGTTTATTGGCAAGCCAATAGGTCTCTGGAAACCAGTGCCCATCCGAAGAATACAAGAGTTTACTGGCCGGGACAAGTTCCATGGATTGTCGTAGAATCGCTTTCTGGCCATCCCTACTGACCATTGGGAAGACTTCGCCAATATCAAGGTACACGTGTCGATATACAGTTGCGAGGTAGCCGGCTTCGCGCGTATACGGATAGGCAGAATGGAGAAGTACAAATGGTACTTGTGGGTAGTTTTCAATCAATGGCTGGAGGAAAGCAGGGTTGGACTCAAGAAGGCTAATGTCATTATCTCCAAGACCAGTATGTAGCTGAAATGGCTTCGCAAGGGAATCAGAATGAGGTAGTCGCTCCGACAATATCTCCAGGGTACGCAAAACGAGATAGTCATTCAGGTGCTTCTTCTCAATACGGTAATTGCGTTTGCGAATGCAGCTCTTAACGTAGCGTTCGAAAGGGTGCCCAACGGTTTTTGCAGCTTCCTCATATTCTGGCTCAATGTCGAGCCCTGTTCGGTAACAAATGACAGATTTGAACCCAGCGACGTTGTCGTCCTCAACAGCCTCTTGAATTTCGCGCTCGAAGTCCTCAGTGAAGTTTGTCCAGGTCTGTGGTAGAAACTTGGTCTTCCCCAGGTCGTCTTCTGATGCGTCCTGAACAAGGTTCTCCATCAAGCGCTCAGCGACTGTCTCAATACGTACAATGCGTTTACTGGGTGCCTTGGTATAACGATCATGATAATTGTAGGGAAAGACTTTTTCTGGTCCGGCAAGTCCGTCATCGATGAGTAACGCGTGTACGTTCTCGAAGCATCGTTGATGTAGACGCTCGGAATTGCTTCGAACCCATTCAACCCTCTGTTCCAGAATGTCCTCCCAATCTGCGTCTTGGCCGCATTCGTAAAGTTGGCCTAGCTGTCTAGCTGCTCGCAAATGAGGAAGGGATTTGAAAGTGTCTCTTAGAGCTCTTCCTTGGGCTTCCGTAGTTATGGTCTCAAAAGGTATCGTATCTGCTTGGTGAGGCAGAATGAGGTTGTGTGCGTGGTTATCGATGAGGGGATAGTTGTTGACAACATGTCGTAATTGTTCGATAGTAGGCCTAGCAGGGGAGCTAGGCTGATCCATTGTGAGCTCCTGGGACTAGGTGCTAGCCGCTCTTCTAGAATGGAGCCACTCCCTCTGATGTTAGCCTTTGTCGCAATTTGTGCCGCGCTTGTGTGAGGAAAAGGACTGCGATATTTCGCGTGGTGGTAGTTTTCCGGCCGCGTTCTTGTCTCAGAACCAAAAAGATGATGTAGTTATTCGCACTCTTGCACTTTCGTGCGTTACAGGCATAATCCAAGTCGAACGAATGCGTTGTTCGTGAGGTATGTTCCAAGGTCAGTCCGATGACGTCGGTAAAGCGGGAGTGTTAGCGCAACCTTCAGAATCAATCTCCAGTCAGTCGCATCAATTCTGTCCAGTGACTTGGTGTTTCTTTTGATGCCAAACACACGATGATGTAGGATCCGGGAGTGGGGAGAGCGGTGGTCCGAAGTGGGGTATATTTCCAAGGTTTGATCTTGTGAGCGTCAGCAGCCCACCTGTTACGTCCTTAGCTGCACTAGCCAGAGTATTCGACTCTTCTCCAGAGATGGACATACGATGCAACCTAAATATCATAGAAATGGAAAATAGGTTCGCAGATTGGTCTACGCAATTCTAACACAGTATGTACGGACTATGAAGTATGCTTGTAAGAGTATGAGCGTCAGGTCAATTGCAACATGTATTTTATAATGTGTTATCTATCGGGTATACGTGTTCTCGCGCCTTGCTGAGTATGCAACATCGTCTAACTTCCCCCTGGCCCCAGCATGTTCAGCTGTTTCAACACGCTCACCATGGCCTTCGCCTTACGATCACCACGAGCGGCCACATGCACTTGCTTGGCATGCGCGATCACGTCACCTCTCCAGCGCCAAAAAAGATTCTCAATCTGCTTTGCTACACTCACACCTTCGACCCTAGCAACCAACTGACATACCCAGATCAATCTCCTCGCGCTAATGAATCTATGCTCCATCATAGGTCGAATGATGGCGGCTCGGACTACGGCTTTGGTAAACAGAGGACCGATTGGCAAAGAGTACGACTTGAGGTAGTTGTAAAGAGTGTAGATGGAACGCCAAGTCGCCCGCTGCGATCGAGTGGCATCGATGGAGTAGTGGTGAGCTAATTGATGTATAAGGACTGTACGTTGAGAGGGTGCGATGTTGTTGGTAAGGTTCGCATAAATTTGTGGCAGAGCGTGATCGTTCGAAGCGGAGTCAAGGATTGCAGTAAAATCCCTACTGGCTTTCAGGGTTTTGATCTCCTTCTTGATATCCTCTTTTGTCTGTTTTTCGATGTTGACGCCTTCAATCGAGACGCTTGGTTCAGCGATCCTTCTTAGAGAATTGAGTATATCCTGACATATTTGTAACGCGAAGGCGTGGTGTCCACTTCGGTCGAGCGTCTGAGCGTTTATGTGTTGTCGAAGCAAAGACAGTTCTGCAGTAATGCGAGTTTTCATGCTCGATACTCTGTCCAGTAGAAATTCATTCTTCTCCAGGGCAATGAGGAATCTGTGCATGGAGTATAGATTGGCATGCGATGCGAAAAGATTAGCAGCAATGCGCAATATTGGCTCATATGGCAGAGAGACTCTACGCATGTGCGAGAAGATCATCACTACATCCTCCTCGATTTGTACCGTGCCTTGTTGTTCTAGCGCAGAGACAGCAGAGGCACTGACAACCCGCCACAAGCTTTCCTTGTGTTTGGCAAACTCGGGTTGCCGTTGTGCCATTCGAAATACGAGAGCATAGAGCACTGTGTGCAGTCGCACTACGCTCGAATTATTGCTCTTGAATGCATGCTCAACCACTTCCACAAAGGCGGCGTTCATATAACCGGTATCAGTGTAGCGAACATTGAATCTGTTATCGAGGTTTTCGAGGACAGCCAGCCACACATTAAGACGGTACCAACATGTCTCAACTGGCAGCCGGCTTTTCCGCTCAACGGCTTCGACGAGAGACCGCGTGATTGGTGGGAGTTGTAGTCGAAGCTCCTCTTTAGGCAAGAAAAGGAGCATCTCCTCAACAAACGCACAAGGAGAATGGCCTTGAGCAGCGCTTGCGACTAAAACCTTGATACTTTGGGCTGCGTTATTGCTGCCAGCCAGTTCAGAAAGCAGCGATTTCTTAATGGCAGGTGCCTCAATCTTGTTTGCAAGTATACGCAAGTCGTCTACAACGCCTTGTATGGCTTTTGTGCTGCGTAAACAGCTCTGATAGGTTAATCGAACTAACGTGAGTAGCTCGGTATCCTGTGATGAACTTGTTGAAGCTGCAGCAGAAGTGGCTGCTCTAACCATCTTGACATATAGGCGGTGATAGACCCGAGGAGCATGATGTGCACCAGAAGCCTCGAGGCACCTTAGGAAGTCAAGACTTTCAGGCGTATAGGTGGGAGGGACATCGAAGAACTTGAGGTTGGAAAGGATGCGGGTAGGATCCCAGCGAATGCTTGTCAGGTGCTTGACCACCATAACGTTGTAGGCCCAAGCGTTACTGTCAGCTGGTCGACATGATATCCAGGCCTGATGTGAGGATCGACAGCGTTCGGCCGTGGACAGAGCTTCTGCGTTTGAAATCTGTGTCGCGAAATTGTTGAAATGCGTCTCCGCGGTCACAGCATCTGTGCTGATTCCTCCTAGCCGGCCTACTCTGCCCTGCAGTTTGGTCTGCGTATTGTTCTGCGAGAAGGGATACGGTGCGCCGAATGGGAATGCGCTAGTTGTAGACGGTGCATGTTCAGTAGATATTTCGTCGGATTGTGCTATTGGCAAGCTTGGAACATGAGGAGCTACTGCCAGTGTTAGCTGAGGTGATGTGGTGAGGCGGACTGCATATACGTACATGTGTCCAATGGCTCTACGTAGTTTTGTAGAGACGGCGCTTCATATCTCCAAGTGGGTTGAGTGTCTTTGCGGAAGCCGAAGAGCGCACCGAGACTGAACAGCGGCGAAAAGTTTTCCTGGGGATAGAAGTTGGCTGAGACGGTCATCCGGCGTTTTGCTGCCCTCCTCCTGGCCTCCAATGGTCCCGGAACATGGCTGCCATGGCGCTTCTGTTGCGGGCACGAACTGGGGAAAAATCGACCAATGGCATCAGTGAGGAGGTTGTCGGAGATCCATATGTGCTGAGGAGAGGGGGATTGGAGCGATTGCACTGCTCGGCGGCAGGCAATGGGCGGACGGCGCATCAAGCGTGGCTGGTCATCGGAGGGCCTGGTGAAGCTTGGTTCGACAGTGAAGTCGCGTCCCAATCGGGAAGTGGGAGATGCACGTGATCATGATGACTAAGACAAGTACAGCTGGGCAGAAGCAGGCCACTCAGCCCTGGAGCAAGCTTGGAATTCGGTACCAGTACAGGCCGGCGACTTGGCATTACCTGCAACAAACCTGGGGAATCTTGACACGAGCATGAATCTTGGGGCAGAGTTCACACGACACGGTTGCGTCCGCTCATGTCTCAGGTTACCCAAGCATTCTTGACGTCTGTCTAATTCAGCCGTTGAGCGCAGAGGCGTTGCGCAACGGTTAATGTTGAATTGCAGAGCCACTTAATCACAGAGGAATTGTCGTGCATGTTTTATTTTTTCTCTCGGAGAAGAGTCCTTGCTTCCTTTCGTGGTGCGCTATGCTCATGCTGTATTTTTAAACTTTGCGCACGATAAGGCCGGGCCGCGCATGTCTGGACTGAGGTGTTTGCATGTCGGATAGAGCGGACGACGGCTTGCATGCTCCAGAAGTGAGTTAAATGAGATTCCACATCGAGGACACGCGATTCGACCCTCTGCCGCGTCCCCACTCCCGCCTTGGACAGACAAAGGCATTCCCAACAGCATGGAGTGGAGCGCAAGAACGTTCTCGACCTGCAGTCCATGGCCAAAAAGCGTCGTGCGCGTCCTGGATATCGCAACGTCAGCGATGCCCAGGTGGCCGAGGGCTTTAGACGCTTTCGTGCCTGACCGCGCGGTCCTGGGTTAGTCCTCATCCACCCCCTGCCGTCCCCCGGCAAGCATGTAGCCTTTGGTGAAACACCGACAAGCCAATCACGGCGACGTTCCTGGCACTAGTGGGCCGGCGCTATGCCCAGGGCGGTCGGCATCGTGGCCGGCTGTCGCGCACACGAGAGGCCCTGGACGTGTACCGTGAAGCTGCGCGTGAATACCGCGCTGATAAACTTTGGCACAGGAGATGCGAGGGGTGCCTCAGAGGCAGCATGCAATCTGGATGTGTGTCGAGTGTGCTCTAGGCGGCGTGGGAATTAAAATGCACTGTTGGCGGCAGTCAGACGCAGGCTAATTGCCAAGGCTGGCTCCTGCTCCCTGTTACATGCCTGCCTGTCCCAACTGGGGCGCACTCTCCTTTGCTCTTCACTTGCGATCCACTCTCAGGGCCCGAGCCTCCTCTCGTTTGTCTGCTTCACGTCTGTCAATCGTCGACACCCACAATCGTTTTATCGCTACACTACACTCTTTATCCTGAACCCATCTCCCGTCGATTCATTCCTTTTGCGTCACTTTACGGGGGTACTTTCCAAGGGGCAGCCGACAAGTTTCATCGCCTCGACTTCTGTCACGACGCCCCCCGTTTCAACACCATCAGACGGCCCTGGGCATCGTTGACCGAGCCTCCAGTTCAGCTCCATCGCGCCTGTTGACTGTTGAACGACGACCCCATCTCCGCCTTGAACGCCATACTCATCCAGCCCGACACCCACGGCCAACTGCTCACAGTCACTCACCTCGACCACTACGCACCTGCACCGCCGGACCAACCCACGCCCGCAAGGCCTTGCATGTGTCCACGCCTCGGTGTATAGGACTCCAGTGCGACACACACAAATCGGGAACATCGACCCACGCGCACTACTAACCAAACCAGCACATCACCACCATGGTCTACGTCAGATTCGCCTCCGTCTTTGCGGCGGCCTCGATGGTCATGATGGCCGCCGCTGCGGACGAACAGCCGACAGCAACCAAGATCAAGAACCCCATCACCACACCAACAGTCACCCTGCCAGCAAGTGCCATGACCAGCATCGGTTGCTTTGAGACCTCAACCCCACTCGAGAACCACGGTCCATACGGTTTCCAGTCGCCTGGTAACTGCCAACTCGTTTGCCTGGAGCAAAACAAGGACGTCATGGGCCTGTCCAACGGCAAGGAATGTTGGTGTGGTGACGAGATACCCGCCAAAGATTGGCAAACTAAGAACGAGACATGCGGTACCCCCTGTGCCGGCGACGATACGTCGCTATGTAAGCTGATCGTCTCTTCTCATGCCGCTCGGTACTGACAGTGCATAGGTGGTGGAAAGAACGTCTTGTGGGTCGTTCTCACAGGAAACACTCTGAACCCGGTCGACTATTACGAGCCCGACGTGTCCAGCAGCAGCTCAGCAGCACCAAAGCCGTCGTCTGCTGCGCCAACATCCACCGCTGCCGCCCAAGCGTCGGCCACTCCATCCGAGGCGCCCAAGGAAGACGAAGACAGCAAACCAAACACAGTCGCCATCGCAGTGGGTGTAGTCGTCGGCATACTAGCCCTTGCCTCCATCATGTTTGGTGTATGGTTCCTACTGCGCCGGAGACGTCAGCACCAAGCAGAAGAAGACTATCGTCGCAACGCCGCCAACGTGAATGCTTTCGTCAATGGTGGCAAGCTACACACCAGCAACTCGTCCATGAACGACTCTCGTCTGGACCCAAGTTTCGTTGACCGGAGGCAGAGCAACGGCAGTATTGCAGACAACGAGGACTACTCGAGGCGGATATTGAAGGTATGCGACCCATGATGCTGCATGGCGGAATATAGCCGACTAATCCTCTGTCAGGTTACCAACGTATAAGTGCCTTAGCCAAGGCAATTAGCGCAACACGTGCGCTCTTCACGTCGACCCTTTTACACGACTGGCGTCGCTGACGAACACCTCAATACCCCGACCACGCATACACCTAATCTCCTTCATACATGTCTCGCACCACGATGCGCGCGATCACGCTTTGACGACGAGAGTAAGAAACATCTTGCGATTTAGCCCGTTACTATTCAGTACACGACGGAACCACCATACCGTTGTTGAGACCAGCATTTGACGAGGATAAAGAAAGATTTGTGGCGGCTGCAGCGAAGAATCTTTTCCCCCTCTCTCGTGTTATATCCAAACTTTTCTTTTTTCCTCATCTAGGCGTTTATGGGGTGTTAGATACCGGGCAATTGAATGGGTCACTTATAAACTCCATCCGGCGCACAAGAGCACCACGGTCGCTCCCTTGTCTTTGTTCTTTGTTATATGGACGGTAATTTCGTCCACGCCATTCCTTTACCCTGAGGGCATTAGTTTCTGTCCTGCCGCTCTCTACCCACACGTGTGCTCCTCTCGTCTGTCGCCATGTAGCCACCACCATCAACAAGCACCCCCCGTTTTCTAGCTACTCTATCTACCACCTCTGCCAATCAAAATTACCATAAATCAGTCTCCTTGTCTGTCCTCATGCTGTGACTTTTGCAATCAAGTCTCGCTGGCTTCTAACAATCTCTTCATCACAACACATGACAAGTATCTTAGGCACAGCCACACAGACAACGTCATGAATACAGTATGATATCCACGCCCTGTGCGCCAATATCGCACATGGTTGTGTGTCACACGAGCATTCACTGTGCACCAGCCACCCCTAGCTACTAGCCCCAACATCTTCAGCCTCAGCCTTGCGCATCACCATTAAAACGTTGCTCAGATACCACCAATAATACGTCGTTTCCTTGCCCACCCCATACTGTTCGCGTCGATCGTCTGGATAATCTTCACCCTTTTCGATGAGGGACCAAGGTCACGCGAATTAGGATTGAAACGCTCCTACAACACAGTAGGAAACACTAGGTTAAGAGCCAGTTGATCAAGGAAACTGAGCAAGTGAGAGGCTGACCGCCTTTTCCCCGCATTCTTCTCGGTAAATGTCGCAAAGAAATGACATGCACGCAAAGAGCCCTCGTTGCCGGAAGTCCATTGTTTGTGGCTGGGTAAGGTGGAGCAGTTCGGTGGATTTCGGCTTTGCTCTTGTTTCACGACCCTCATCCTCCTCGTTTCTCGCCCTCGCCGTGAGGCTGAGGAGGGTACAATGATCTCCCCGAGGTAATGTACAAATTTCCCGACCTGAGAGAGAGTCAGCTTGCTTCTGTTCTTGTAATCTCTGCTTTTTTCGGCCTTGTGCTGGCTACCTGCGTCGGTGCGTGCAGGCTAGGAAATGAAGGAATGCTGCATTGGAGGGTGGGGAAAGGTCTTGGAACCTAAGCATCTAGACAGACATTGATGGTTTTTTCATGCGGTGTGGATGATACTGACTGTCTGGTACTCGGTACATTAAAGTACAGCCGAGGTGAGGGCTTCTTTTTTTCTTTTTCCTGATGCTTTGAAGTCCTAGGGTTTGAAACTGGACTGAAGCTGATGTCAACGAGTTGGCACGGTGGTAGGCGTCTTCAGCCTGGAAACGCGAATGCGAGTATGCTGAACCATTTGGTATTGGTGCCACGAAGTAGCTGGGTGTTTCTGGGTTGAGGCCGAAGATGTAACCGACATGTGTCCACCATGTTTTACATCAACGTGGAGATCAGCAGTAGGCCGTCTTCAATGCTACCAAAGGGCTTCACCAGGCTAGCTGCGTCCACGTTCAGGAATGGATTGTAACAAAATATTAACACAAATTACCATCTCTATGTACTAGTGACGTGTATCACGCTGGGTATCAAGGGGTATGGAAGACGCATGAGCACATGTGCTCACACGCTCTAACGAGAGAAAGAATCGCGGAGAAAGGTGTTGTAACATCCATCGCAAAGGTCATCACAAAAACGCAACCCAGATGTATACCTGCTCTTTACCAAACCCATACCCTGCCCTTGACCGGCCATTGTTCGTAAGCTCTTATCCTAGTCGTCCAATTCGTATTGCTGCATAATCCATGACCCAATTTCGTTCAGTCGTTGCCATTACTTGATCAATTGTACTTCAGAAAAGTTGTGGGCTGCTGCGACGTTGTGGTTCCGGTGGGCATCCTAGCAGCACTCGAGGCATCACCGACAGTCATCTTGGGATACTCACCCGGAACATGCAGATCACTAACGCTGATGTCGGTGTTTATCCGCTTACCCATTCCAGGGTGAACCATCTCATCTGCAGCATCCACAAGGTCGACTGGAACGGGTCCCCCATTGACAGTCTTGCCAAAGGCAGGGGCGGCGCCGACCTCAGACTCGCCTAAAAAAGACGACGTGGTTGCTAGCGTGTCTGGACTGCTGGTATGATGAGGCTGAGTTTGGCCACTGGAGATAGGTGCGACGATCGGGACAGATGTTGGCTGCACAGCAGGTACTGCAGACGGAGCTACGTAGCCAGTATCATCGATCTGGTCGGGGAGGATATGATCCGGATGCCGTTCTAGAAATTGCGTAGGAGTAGCGTCTGAAAAGCCCGCTGCTCGAGACTGGTCAAACGGATATTGTTGTGTTTGGTCCTGCTGCTGTTGGGCATCGAGATGTTGCTGAGCCAACTGCTTCTTCCTGTATGCCTCGTTTGCAAGAACTCCAGTTGCTGCTCCTCCAACAGCAGGCGCCATCCAGTCACCGTAGTTGTTGCTATCATGGCGTTGGATAGGTTGGGCATGCTCCAAGGATGGTTGGTTGACTGAGGCTGGTTGGACAGGGTAAGTCTGGGGAATGGGCGCGTACGAAGAAGTGTCGGTAGTCAGCGGATCATATGGCTGCTGAGTGTGTGGGTATGAATTTACGAAGTTGGTTTGAGGTTGATGCTGGATGGGCTGGGTATACTGGACTGGTTGGACCGGTTCGGGCTGGTAGGGTGCGGTTTGGGCAAGATACATCGGGTGAACCTCCTGTGGGGGACCTCCGGACATGGTTGTTAGATCATTGCCGACCTCTGAACTTCCACTAGATGGCGAGAGAGGCGCTTGTAAGTTACGGTTGACCATCAAATCAGACGGGAATCGCCCACCTGGAGAAGGCCGTGAAGGTCGCGGAGACTGGTCCCGAATGGCCTGTTCCTTCATCGACTGGTTGGCTGAGAACGGGACTGCATCTGCCTCGTCTTCTTCTAGACCGCCATCAGAGCTCGCTGAACGGGCGCTGCCAGCACTGGTGCTCCTGACGCTTGCATGGCGACGAACAAAGGCATTGCGCTCCTCCCCACTCTTCTCGGTCAAGGCCTTGATATCTTCAAACCACGCCACCATAGTTTCGTAAGTCTCTGCCCGGAATACCCAGGTGTGGCCACGGTGCATGGATCCAGCCTGTCGGCCTTTGATAACAAACTTGTGGGAGGAACTTCCGGGCTGTGAACGAGAACCAAGCTTCTGGTCTGGCAGATACAAGGACATGACCGGAGGCTGAGTGTAGATGCGATCGGCCGATTTGAACTCGTGGATGTGCGTAGGAGATAGAACATACCTGCAAACGGTTAGATGAAGTGGTCTCACAGGAATAGGTTGCTTACCAGCCTGGCGTATAGGACTTGAGATACTTGCTTTTCCGCTCAAGCATGCCTGCCCTGACTTCGGTGGTAGCTGGGTGGTATTTTCCGGGGTACTGTATGTCTTCCAGTCTGCGCAGCGGCATGTCTGGGTTGACGAAGTGAGGGTCGCTTCTCACAAACCTGCTCCACTCGAGATCGCGCGGCATCGCAATCGGACCATTGCGCAACTTCTCTACCGTGTTGTACTGCTCATCGGCATCGCGCTTCAAGATACTAGCAAGAGCATTGTAGGCCTTCTGTACTTCACCAACAACGATGGATTCGAGTTCGCGGCCAGAGTTCTCAAGGTTGAGGTACGCCTGTTTACGTTAGTTATGAGTAGCCTATATGGGCCTGATGGCTTACTCTGTGAAGATAATTCTCCTCGTCAATCTGTCTCTCGACTTGGCGCTCGACGCCCAGACGAACGACATAGGGATCTCCCTTGCCCGCGACAGCAGTGGGGTCAGAATCGACCAGGGCCAATGCCTCCTCAAGTGCTGTCACGCACTTCCTCGTAGTCTCCTTTTCCTTCTCGACGTTGTTCTTGAAGTCGCCTGAAAGCGATTTGATCTCCTTGATCTTTTGTGCAAGATCGGCTCTGAGGCCGCTGAGCTGATTGATAACGTCTGCCTCAACGTCTCGCGCCTTGTTGGCCTCAAGAATGGCCTGCTTGTGGAAGTCGCGGAGAATACGGTTGGCATCATTGAGGCCTCCTTCTACGAGAAGAGCGGCGGGCGCATTGGTGTTGTTGATCACGTTGGACACTTTGAGCAGCGACTTGGCGCGGTGTTCGTAGGAGGCTGCCACCTCGCGGAAGTAGGTGATGAGGTCTTTGAGGAACTTGCGCCAGGCTATCGGATGTCAGTGAGTTAGACAGGACAGTCACATGCGCCAACCTACTCTGAAATCGGTCTGCCAGTATCTCGGTGGGGGTGCCTTTGGTAGGCACGGGTGTGTAGAAGACACTGTCCTCGCGGTCATAGCCGCGCTCTTGGTCGTCAATGGTCACGCCCCTAATGGATCCGGCATGCATGGATTTCCTGCTCCCGCTGCGCTTCATACTTCCCGTCCTCTTGACTGAGCTTTTCTTCTTGAGGGTGCCACTGCGCGAAGGCGTTGCGCCCTGGTTCAGGGTGGAGGAGCGCGAGGAGGAGCGCTGGTGCACGTCACCGTCAAGGACAGACGAGCCCCGTGTGCGCGCATCGAAATCCTCCTCGAACCTCCCTAGGCGCGAGCGGTCATGTTGCGCGCCTGCCGGCGAGTTTGCAAAGTCGTTCACAGAGGAATTGCCATAGCCACGGCTGATGTGGGCAGGGTCTTCTATATGCGGTACGGGGTCGTACGAGGCCGAAGGGGTCACTGGTCGCTGCATCGCCATGGTGGGTGCTGGTCAGGCTCACTGCCTGGTCGTGGATACTGGCTGCAACGGTAAGGTAGACCCTGACGAATATATGTTAGGAGACGGTTCAGTTGGCAAACAACCCTGAGCCGCCGTCGCTGTGGCTGGCGATGACGTGTGGAGTCGCGCTAAGGGGTGAGCTGCCTCGGAGGGGTCGACGCGCAGATTGCGAGCGACGAATGGAGAATGGTGCCGTAGATCAGTACTTACAATTCTGTCCGGAGCCACTGGAATTTCGCGTGTGCCTGAGGATGCTTGCGGTATCAAGAGGCAAACGTCAGGTTTATGAGTATTGAACAATAGCCGTCAACGGCGGCTTCGCGGCACTGAAGAGGCTCACCAAGATGCCTAGGTGATGTCATGTTCCCTTCAATGCTACGCGGACAGCAGCAGCCGCGCCACAGACTAAGACGATTCAAGGGTCGGGCATTGCTGCACGATGACGATCATGTCCGGAAGGTGTTGAACGGCCTATCATGACTTGCTTGTACCTCCATCCATTGCGCCGTTGGGTAGCCCCGTCGCGTCGATTGTCCTAACAGCTGTCATGCGCGGACTTGCGGAACACGTAGGCGAGCACAAGAGCATCTTCGTCGTTGCCAACTTCTTCATCTTGAGAGTTTTAGTTTCGATAGAGCGTCTCGGTGACTCTTCAGCTGCATCGTCCGTCGCCACATCCATTGCCGCTGGCCAAACACGTGGAGACTCTATGTGGGGAGAAAATCAGCCGAACGTGCCGACCCAATTCTGATTTGCATTCATCCTTCCGCAGATCAGTGCAGCAAGGCGGCGATGCCGACATCCTTCCTCGACTTTGCTGCAACTTGCTCCTGGGACCTAATTCAATTTTTTTCAGGGGTCCTTTCGTGCCCGATCCTCTGAGACTAAGCCCGGCAGTATCTCTAGCCGACCACGGAATACTCCAGGTCACGTTGAACAATCAACCAAGGAACATCTCGGGTTGTCGTCATCGCCTGCTTCACCAGCGTCGCTTGAGAGGTAAGGAGAGAAACTAAACATCTCTTTAGGGCAGAGTACTGCTTCCTACTACAATGAAGTGTATTAGAGCTATACAGACATAGATAGAGGATCTAGAAGTCTACAATGCTATTGGTTTTTATAAGCTCGATTCTTAGGAGCTAATGTAGGCCGTAAGGTAGAGCTTGTTATCTCTAGACCTGTTCGGTTCCTCTCTTGTATGGGGTGAGTAATTGCTGTTTTTCCACCTGTCTGACAATCCTGACTATTCAGATCGACCGAAGGCCACAATTCAGATATATAAGACCGCCCATCATCGTCGAACTGCTTGACTACTAGCCAATAGTTGAAAATCCTCGAAAGCGCATGTAATGTGTGTACATAGTATTGCATTACATCTTGCTACATCAGGCCTCAATGTTTACCCAGACAGCTGACCTTACGAAATCCCACTCATCGTCGACCCGTAGCTGCGATGCACAATTCCTCGTAATACGTGCCTGGAAAAGGCGGAATCTGACTTGGCCGTTACGCCGTGCCAGTTGCGGAAGAAACGGTCCAGATAAAATGGCTCGCGAGACTTTACGGAATCATCTACACATTATATCCAGTCATAAGGCACAATAATGTTCGGATGGACAGGAGATCGGTAGACGTCAAAGGCTTCAAGCAAGCTTGTCTATTTTCGCGGTGTTTTGTTCTACTTCCCCACTTGTGAACCAGCAGTCCAGGGGTACTTATTGCTTCCTAATCTTAAGGAGGTATGTTGTCTGATGGCGGGATGTCTGACTCTTTGATACCTAATGCTCTCTCGCCAACGACTGCTTGGGACTAGAGCTCGTCAATAACGCGGTTTACCGATGGCCATGTGGATGGATGTCTCTGAAGAACTGGTATCTTAAAGGGTAGCGATTGCGATACATGGCTGAGTACGACATCTTGGAACTTGGCCGTCATTGGATCTCGTGATGCTGCAAGCTCTGGTAGTACTCTCTTGACCAAGCTCTTGATGCGATCTGCTGGCAGTGGTGATCGTTTTGCTGTAGAAGCGACTGACGAAGATTGGGGTTTGCCGCCTTCAATACTAAACTACTGCTTTGGCAACAATCGTAGAAGCCCATGTAGCCTTCTGGGCGGCTCCCTAGGAAACAGCGACCAGATTCATCACTCTCCGCTTTTCGGCGGCGATGCTGGGTGATAGCACTCCAGCTTCCGGGCTGCAGTAGTAGGAAAAGGCTTATGCTCCTTCTGGAAGTGTTACGTATATCGTCGACTTCTGCTTTTCTGAAACAAGGTTGTCGCGTTCTGCTTCTTCGTGGCGAAGTGAAGCAAAAACATCCCAGCCTTAAGGAGGTATCCTTAGAACATGGGCTGGCAGGGAGACCTTGGGAGTATAGGAGCTATGTCGCGACTGAAATCTTGACAGGATGCGAAGTTATGAGTAGAAATCGTGTGATAGGACTACGGCGCAACGAGGCCAGGTTTATTTATAGCCGAGTCAGGTTGAGTCGCGTGGCTGAGCGGCGTGGCGGTTGTGAAAGTACTGTACCTAGTAGCAAAGGGTTCGCATTGTTGGGATAGTAGCCCATAATACTTTGCACATGTGCGTAGGATAGTAGCGAATATTAAGTTTTACATTGAGCAAGCTGTGATGATGATTTTGGTTGACGCAGGAAGAATCCAAGGTTGGATTAGGGTAGGACATTCGACACAGGCACAGGATATTTTTCGAAGGCCAGGGCTGACCACTTTTTCCAGCGCGATTTAAATGTCAGCATACTGTATTTTGATGCAGTTAGGAGACGAGGCGCATTAATGCCTTGGAGTATGATAACAGTAGGTCATCTGATATGTGATGTTAGATGTTGAAGAGATGTCGAGGTTGCGCACTGGGTAGGTAGGTTGGGTGGGGCCTTTAGACCTTCACCCCATTATACTTCTCCAGCACCCCAACATGAAAAGTAACTTTTAGTGTAGCATATACACAGAATTCGAAGGTAATTTGGATGCGACAATTTTGGAGTTGTCTAAATATTGGTTCTGGCGCTCAGGAGGTCACTGTTCCGCCACACCACCAAAAATTAACCGAAACCTCCCAAAGAACTTCACCAACCAATACAGACCACTCAGGATACCCCAGAACAGCAAAAACCCGTCATGCTGGTGGGATATTCTCTTTGTTGGCAGCATTCTTCTTGGCCGTAGCCCCCTTCCTAGCGGCGGCGGCGGCCTGCGAGATTGGAGACATGAAGTCAGTTTCAATTTCATATGCATTCGGTCACCCTGAACTTACCTTCGGCGTCTTCTTCTTCTTCTCCTTGGGCTCATCGCCCTTGTCCTTGCGCTTCCTCTTCTTCGGCACCCCCTCCGACCCGGCATCGCTTCCACCCTCCGGGAGAGTGGCTTCCTTCTTTGAAGGAGGAGTGAACGGCAGGGGGGGCGACGACTGCCGGGCTTCGGGGGTGCCAGGCCGCACCACGGGCGCGATTTCGTTCCAGTCGGGCGGAGGAGGAGTTTCCTCCTCCTCCTGCCCCAGCGGGGGGAGTTGCAGCGGGAGCCGCTTGGCGGCGAAGATGGTAGTATTGATGATCCTACACAGTTAGCTTCACTACACTCAGGCACGATGCTCCAAACAACATCAACAGGCGGAAACTCACTTCATCTTCGTGTCTTACTTAAAGATGAAGTGAGCTTCCGTTTGGAGGTCTATTGAGGGGCGAGGTGTGCCAAGTGTTGTGTTGTTGCTCGAGATTGGAAGGAGCTCTCAGTGGGAAGGAGCTCCCAGGTGGTGGAAAGAGCACTCTCAAAACCTCAGCGGATACCTCCACAACCTAAAACGTCAGAGAATCAAGAGATCCGTTGAGTTTCCATGCCAGCCTTAAGTCTATCACCAAGTCTGCCGTAAAGCGTGCCACGAATCCTAATTTGAAGCCTGCCGCTAAGCTAGCTACAAAGGCAGTCTTGAAAGTAGACCCAAAGCCAACCTCGACTAGACTAACAGTATTCCCAACCAGAAACGAGTGACTGAGATGGCAAGGGTACCACCAGGATTGCACCTGCGGTGAGATCAAAGCTGCTGCGGCATCGTTGGATGAAAACAAGTTTCCGGTAATTGAAGGTATCCACCCAAGAGACCACGGGGTGATGAAACAAGGAAGGTGCGATGCATTCGAGTAGGAAAGGTGAGTAAAGAGTGAAGCTTGAGGCACTGCATGAACAGTGACGTCGCCAAGTACCTCATATGGAGATAATCTTGACGAAATGTAGCCATACGAGGCTCATGTACCTTGAAATTACCTACATACCACATGCCGGCACCTTTTACGCCCGCTTTGACAGTCAGACTCATACGTTGCGAACGCCCCAGACAACAGCAATGCTTCGGCCTCAACCACCTCTCCACCGGCCAAGAGACAGAAGCTTACTACACAAGAGAAGGAAGCTCAACGTCTAGAGAAAGAGGCCAAGGCTAAGGCACGAGAAGAGAAGAAAGCGCAAAAAGAGGCAGAGGAGAAGGTTAAGGCAGAGCAAAAGGCTCAGAAGGATGAAGAGCAGCGAAAGAAGAACGAAGAACGAGATAAGAAGAAGCGTCTTGCGCATCGAAGCTCGCATCCAAGTTGTAGATCATTGAGAAGAATGTCGTGTCGTAGGGAATTGTTTAAAGCTTCATGTTACACTTGTGTCCGGTATCAAAAATCTCATTTCGGCTACCAAGGTTCCGCTATGGACAGGTCACATGTTCGCAGTAGGCCATCCTTGGAAATATTTCAGCTAAATCCCCGTTCATAATCCTCCGTAGCTCGGAACCATTCCTAAACGTCATGTTTGTTGCTTCCGATAACCAGAGTCTTACGCGAGAGGTCTCCTTCCTCCCACAACCACTACTAAGCTGGTCTTTTCCCCAATTTGTCGTCAAGCCGCTACTTTTTGAGCTGCATAGCAGTTGCTGCCTCTGTGAACTTATCCCAGTAGTCGGGGATAAGAGTCTTTCGGTGGGCTACGCGGTGCAAAATGGCGGTATCCCAGTCATTTGCGTGACGCTTTGCACTACTCTGCGGCCCAGAGGTGAGAATCCACCGAGTAAGCTCATGGAAGGTGAGTGTTGGAAAAGAATCATGGCCTTCTTTTGGTTTGTAGACGAATTTCCTTGAGCCATGGCCATTTTCTTCTGCGAGATATTGTCCATACTGCCTAAGGGCGTTACCCAAGTGCCTGTCGTCCTTTGGAAGGGCCCGCAGCACGACCGAACGCTGGATCGAGACGGCGGCCCAGATGAACTGTTCAGTGTTGCCATAGCCGAACCTGGAGGCTTGTTGGTCCCAGTTGCAACTGCGATGGTTAGTCATGTACATTACATGGGTGTCTGTGCCTGGACATACCCTTTCCAAAGACTGTGAAAAACATTCCTCGTAGCGTCGACCGGTACCATTAGAAACCAAATGTTGGCTTCGCCATCGATCGGAAGACATCCAAGGACGATTGGCGGAAACTCTTCTTGAATCCCGGTGCTGTATCGTGCACGAACCGCGGGTCGGTCTTGGGGTTTGGGGTTTATGTGAGCTGTGAAGTTTTTGCGGTCCTTGCGAAACTCAGGGCTGACAATGACCAGTCCTCTGCCGAAGTGACGAGCCCAGCAAGACGCCATGTGTTCATCCTGGTAAACAGCCAGCCTCTGGCGATCGCACGGGTGATAGAGGTCTAGGGGGTCGGACTTCATTTTCTTGACTGCAGAGGTGAAGATACGAAGTCAGTATGTGTTTCATATGTGTCTCGCAGAGTCACAACTTACCTGCATTCTGGTTGTTTTTGTTCTGAAAGTCCTTTTGTTCAACTTCCACGCCCGAGATCTGCAAGGCGCTGATCAAAAGGTTCACCATGTTGTTATCGCCCCTCCACCACTCCCACTCACTAGGCTTGTAGACAATTGGCGGGTGAGCGACACCAGGAAAGTCGGCTTTGCAGCCCTTCTCTTCTCCGGCATATGCCAGCACTTTACGCCACTCTACCCTTCCTTCAGGAGAGAGGGGATGACGAGTGAAGCTCTTCAGCTTATCGCCGGCCCCGATCTCATAACGGAAGCTGCTTTTGACCTTTTCTTCGACAACTCGAATCCCTTCAGGTAGCGGTCCATGCTGTGTGACGTCCTCGATGTACTTGGCAGCCCATGGAGGGGCATTCCAAAAAAGCGGGCTGGACATGGTAGGCGGAAGTGGTGATGGTAGGTGATAATGGCAGGTAGATGGTGATGGTAAGCTACCAAGGGTAAGAAGTGTATTATTGCTCGAAGGGCAGTCGCTGTGTTGGTGAATCTTTGCAGTGTTCGAGAAGCAGAGTAATCGTGATGACAGCGCTTTTGTATTGGCAAAGGTGGAATCAAAAGCCTCACAAGAGGATACTGCACGTGTTTTGCTTTGTAGAAATGACTACCTTACTACTCACCGCGCCCCCGCTCACCGTTTGTTATCACGGTCGAGCTTGCCACGAGGGGTGAATCTAGATCATTACTTACAGATATCGGGCAAACAGATGATTGCAAAGACACAAGTCACCATCACCCAATTCGTACTCATGTTAGCAAGTGACTGTGGGTCATTACTAGTATTCGTTTGCCAAGTGATGTGATGCTCGTAAGTCGTAGCTGAGTATTCCCGTCGTGACCTACACAGACAGGCGACACATGATCGGTGCGTTATCGTGTGGTCTTTACTGTTGTGCGTTTGTCAGTCGGAAACTGACGCACCTTGAGGTAAAGGTAAACAATATACTTCTGTCGTGGATGCCTAGGTATCTAGGTATATATAGCCCACCTGCACCCTCTCGACAACTGCACCCTCTCGACAACTGCACCCTCTCGACAACTGCACCCTCTCGACAACTGCACCCTCTCGACAACTGCACCCTCTCGACAACTGCTCCCTCTCGATCAACACCGTGACCTGCTCCAGTCTCCTAAGGCTTCATCGACTTCACATCCACGATACAAACTGCCGACACTCCTCATCGAACAGACAACATGGTTTATTTCACTTCAGATAGTGTCCCCGCAGCTCACGCAGCCCTCTCAGTCTCCGAAGCTGGCGATTGGAACGACATCCGAGACGGGTGCCCAATTCCAGGATTGAAACGGCCGACAGTCGGCTTTCGGGTGACGAAGTACTTCAAGTCCAGGAGGCTGAAGAGCGAGTTTCTGCCCGGCATGCAGGGCGAAGTTCTTAAACGTAAGTGCTTCTGATGTACGAACTTCTTGAAACATACACTAACTTGTTACATCAACATCTCAGGTGAAGGATCGGGACTATATGTGCGTTGCAAAGACCTATTCGATGCCAAAGAAGATCCTCTCAAGGAATGGGTTCATGAAGACGACATCGAGATCGGCACCAAGCTCTACGGCGACTGGAGTATGGACGTCTGCAACATCCCACGAGCACCCTCAAAGTTTACCGAGGCCGAAAACGCTCTATTCAAAGATCCTAAATGTCAGCACCTTGCGCTCGGCATTAGCACGTTCTTGAGGAAGCTGGCAGAGACAAATCCGGATTGTTTGATGGAGGCCGATCTCAAAAGGCTCGGAGGCACCTCAGGTAACAACGTCACGTGGATTACCACACGAGTCCTCATCGGTGTTCAAAAGGCAGGCCTTCTTGGTGTGCTGAACAATCCCCAATTCACCATGGAAGAGCTCGAGGCAAATGCAAACCTCAACTGCGAACAGTTCATAGGTCAGGACAAAGCCGGCATTTACTTTCGTCGTTACATTGGATTGAAGCCTACACCCAATCGGTCGAAAAAGCCACTCTCGTTGTATGTCGGTCAGACTGTGGACTTCTACAAGCGCTGCCAGAGCTGGGCCTCATCATCGAAACAACATGAGGATGTGAAAGCTCAGTCAGGGCCCGTGAAGATGCTCGCATTATGTCGGCTAGAGAAGGATTTCTACAAAGAGCACAAGTTCATTGTCGAGCAGCTCTTCACTTCGCTCCTCCAGACATACAAACAAGCCCTTCTCGATCGAAACCCGGACTTTGGAGATGATCGAGGCAAGTTTCATATGAACAATTGCTGCGATATGGACAAGATCGCCTCAGCAGCTGCCAAAGAGAGCAAATGGACTGGTGCAGTGCAGCGAATAAGCTTTTGGGCCGGTTCCTACTCTGCGTGCGCCGGCCTCAACCATCAGTCGCCTATCTCAGAAGCGAGACTACATGAGCCAAACACTTGGCTCGAATCGCGTGGGTTTGTGCAAGACAAGAAAGATCCAAGCAAGTCGTTCCCGATCTCAAACTTCACCTGCGTAGTACCGAAGAAGATGACAGTCCTGGACCCTACGCCAAAAATGAGTTCGAAGAACAATTGGTTCATCGTGTTTGACGTCAAGAACTGGGAGACGAATGAATACTGTCTACGAATTACGCAGGCGCTTCCGGACGATTTCTCTTCTAACAGTGAGGACTTTCCAATCAACAATTCTTACTACAATATTACGATCGAGGTTCGCACAGACTGGAAGCCACACCCTTACTCATGGGCTCGCCTGCCGCTCATCGGTCCGTTCATGGACTGGGATCGAGCCAATAGCTGGGCTATTAACATAAACTGGGTCAGTCCGTCCGGAGAGTATCGGGTCAAGTATTTTCATTGCCTGCGCCCATACATGAAGATGACTAGCAAGTCAGATGCCGCTATCCAGCCTTATGCACGAGGCATCGAGGTAAGTCTAGTGCATCTTTAGCACCACACGATCATTCTGGGATATACTAATATTTTCTTGCAGATGATTCGTTGGTTGTACCGTGAGAATATCCCCGCCGAACAACAACATCGCTGGATCCAAACTCCCCCATTTGCGAAGACGAAATTGGTAGATTACGACTATGTCCGCCAGATGATCAAGATCAAAGCTACTGAACCCGTCACCACTACTGCGCCCATAAGTAGCAACCGCAAGAAACGAGAGATTATCAAAGCAGAGATGGAGGGACGTGGACCACATGGAGACTTCGGAATTCAGAACGTAGGCCTTACTCTAGCCGAAGCCAAGGCTAGGGGGGGAAAGTGGGCGTCTAGATCCAAATGCGACAGTTGCGCGTTCTTTGGTCGTAATACTGGCCCTGGTACCTGTCAACTCGTACCAGGTAAAAAATACTGCGGGAATTGCAAAGAGATCTTTGGGCGTCACTTCTGCTCGTGGACTCTTGGGATCCCGTCCGTGAGTAGAGGAATAGGAAATCCTGGAAACTCGTTTGCAGATCTCGATGTTCAAGGAGATACAGTGAACGCCCTGCTGCGGTCGGCTCTTCACGGAACTCGGGGCTCGACTGGTGATGCGATGCCAGACACGGATCCGCTGGTGATGGAGATTGACCAAGGAGAGCAAGATGCCTGGAAGCCTACTGAAGAAAAGGAGGAGGAGGATGAGTTTTTTTAGAATGACGTTGTGCCGGTGCGTAGAGTGATCGTCCAGAGCTCGAGCGATGTGCTTGCCCTACAAGTACACCGGTTTCTATACACCAGTGTTGGCTACACTACACCTTCCCCTAATACCCCTTGCTTTACCAGACACCAGCAGAATTCTTTTTACTTCAGATACATGCTTTCTTATATATTACTCGTCTAGAAGAACAACCCCCCCTCTTAGCTACTCAATACCACTGTACAACACCTGTACATCCACCTCCTCTTGGCTGCATAGTGAGAGACACTTCCATATCTTCGCGTTAGTATGTCTATGCGCTCCAATACCCGTACAATATGGGCTCAGTGGACCGGAACATCAAATGGTGTGGTGGTTGCGACATTACCTAGGTAGGCTTGCGAAGGGGTGCGCGTTGGTGAGCTTAACCTACGAAATAACTCCAAGCAATGCTCGCACAAAGAAATAGAAAAGATACAAAGGGCCTTGAACATGGCCAAGTGCGGCATTTTAGCAAAAAAGAGATGTTCCGAAGTAGACAGATTATACGGGCGACGTCCCAGCCCACCATGACCACCTTATCAAGGAGCAAAAAAAAAGGACGTCGGAGACAGGACTCGAACTGTTTTCTGTTAGTAACGTTCATCATTCGGTAGGAAGATAATGCTTACCCTGCGCGCCCGAAAGCATGTGATATCTATCAGAGCTTAGCCCTTTCGAGTCACACCCGTTAACCACTCCGGCACTCCGACTTATGTTGTATTGATGGAAATATGTCGATTGCGAAATATTATAAAGGGATGCACAGTACCAGCGTTAGTGACATATGAAGCAATCTCTGTCTAGGTGGGGCAGACGCCGGTTTTGACCGACCCATGAAGAGCACCCTCTTGCAAGATTCATTGCAGTCTATTCATAGGTACCTGGGCAGCCACAATACACAACACCATCGCACAACGGCGTTCCCCCAGGGAGATACGAATTGGGCATTACTATCCTGTCGCCTATGAAACTCTCTCAACATTTCTGAACCGTGTATACGTAGAAAGCTACTTAGGTATGAAGATGCTCGCGAAACCCGCCCAAATGCCACCCGGGACGCTACATTACGGTCTTAAGTCTGCATTGATCAACCAAAGTCCCAACGTTACCTCCAATCCCCCCCAGAATACCAACCCCCTATTCTCACACATCCTAGCATTGCAGCACCGCAGGGCCAGGAATCTTGTATGGCGTTCCGTTTCCCTTGGGCTGACCCTGAGCATTATAGATGCTGAGTTTGATCCCTGCATCATCCGCCTTGTAGGCACCAGGGAAGCTGACCGTATTTCCGGTCTTCGACCCCGATCCAGAGACGTTGATCTGCGCGCAGCCCATGTAGAACTGCGCACCACCAGTCGTGGTAGCGCTGTGCAATGCGATCATCTCAGCCCTGAGAAGATACTGACCGGGCGCAACACAAGATGGCATTGTCATCTCCGTCCATCCACCATTGTTTATCATTCTGTCGACACCTAATAGGCGCGTATACAAAGTCAGTGCATTTCTCACTTGTGTTTTGTACAGAAGTGTCGCTTACCCCAGTTCCCCGAGCTGTCGAGGCCGTCTTCAGAGACTTTGAACCATTGGAGGCCAGAGGGGGAGGCAGAGGCAGCATTTGAGACCTTTGCCATATAGAAGATAGCCGGACCCTTGTGAGATTTGGCGATTGGGTGGTCGGGATCGTTTGCGAATCTTGGAGGAATTAGTAAAATGTTGGTGAGAAGATTAGGACGACAAGAACATACTGTGCTCCGCCGACAACATGACCCCAGTTAACACCAACCCTGTCTCCAGGCTTGACGTCAATGACCTTGCTGGAGGAAGAAGCACCAGAATTGCAAGCAATGTTACCATCATTGACGTTCGTGATGGGGTTGTTGGAAGGCGCAACGCGGATACCATTGCCTTGACCAAGGTCCTGTCCGTTAATCCTGACGCGCTGAGCAATTGTATGTGCTGACCCAAGTGCGGGCAACAGGGCGATAGCAACAGCGAAGAACTTCATATTGAGCGGAATACGGGCACCTGGGTAGTACAAAGGTAAGCAAGGAGTGTCAAGCTGCGGATGAGGCGCTGTCACTGGATGTCATGCCTCTTTCTTATATACTTCTTTCCACTCCCATGACCACACTTTACCTACCACCCGAATACAAGCATAATGACGCCCTTACCTCTATATCATCTACCTCAATCGCTGGGCTGCAATATGACCACGCCACATGCAAGCCATCGCTAGGTGTTCTCCAAGATTTCAGCATGCACCTCAGATGTCTTTTCTACGACGTTTGGGGCGGCTGCTGTCGGCAGTCTTGCATCTTAAGATGACACAGCCAATCACGGGACGCGTGTGTCGAGTTTTCTGGGCGCTCATATATGGCGTTTCGAAATAGATGGCTTTGCGCGATCAGTTGCCGGAAATCAGTACTTGGCAGTGGATATATGTGTGCGGCCGGTTAATATATATCGCGATTCAGGCCCGTGAACAGCAAAACCCATGACCAATCTTTCGAGACGAGACGTCCACCATGAACGGTCGTGTTGAGCTTTGGCGTGATCATATCCCATGGAAGAGGAGAACCTGTTCAAACCATTCGGCGGACCAGAAGATAGTTTGGTATGTTGTCTACGCCATTTGATGATACCTGCGTTGACTTGTACTCTACAGCACTTGATCTCTTCATACTCAACAGCGGACGAAGCAAGCACTGTGCTCCTGCGTTATGGCATCATTCTAGAACTTGCTAGTCTTTCCGTCTTCCTATTCTTCTCTAAACTAGCCTTCCGTTGACTGGGCATAAAGGATCATGACGTCTCCTGCATTGACGTAACACCTTGACGTATCGACCGTAAGCAGACCCTAGGCGCTAACTCTAGTACTGGTGTGAGGACTCGGGTACCCATAGATCTCCGCGTCTATTGGCATCCAGTCGCACGTGAACCTATCGCTCGTTCCAAGGTGAAGGTTGCAATTATTCTAGGAGGTACTGGTCCCGCAGTCTACACAACATACCTCCAGAAAAACGACGTGCCATTTACCCGCCTCTGGTACAATAATACACAGCGATACCGTGATGTGCTCCCAGCTGGATGGATTAATCACACTACCGCGAGCAAGGATATGATCAAGAGGGTCACGCTCGGTGTCTGCCACCCTGGGAAGTTCTGCCAGGATAGAGGACAGCACATCACGAACGTTCAGCAAGTTAACGCAGTAAGAGAATGTCTCCTTGACTACGCGATCGCATTGTTATTCAATGACACACACCTGCAGACTTTCCTTAGTTGCACTAGTTACTTCTTTAAGCTGGCACTAGGAGATATTGGCCGTTGGAGGAATTGCGGGTATGCGCGGCAACAATATTGGAGACTTCGGGTAGAAGACGAGAAGTTTGATCCAAAGGCCACTACTAGTAAAGCACTCGTAGACACTGACGTCTTCCTTGGTGGTAAGGAATTTCTGAAGAGAGATAGCGATCGTTTTCAGCCCAGACTACTACATGAGCTTCCACGCGTGACGTTGTACCTTAGACTTGCAGGCGGTAATTTTGTGATAGGTCTTAGGACATGGAACTGGAGAAGTTGAAGTAGTCGCGACAAAAAGAGCCTCGACATGCTCCATCGCCATGTGCCTGTTGGACCTCGGGACGGGTGGGGCGGGAGATGCGCTAGTAGCGCCTGTGCTGATTGGTTTCATGCATGTCCGCCTCAACCCCAGAAATAACTCCCCAAGTCGCGCATCGTGAGCGCCGCTTTGACTGAAGCGTTGCGCCTGTGCTGCTGGTGAGCGCTTCCGAGGTTTATCCAACGTCGCAGTATGTAGAGCGCGAGCACATCGACTGTACCAAGCCTCGAATTGCCCGGCACCATGGACACGATAGCAGTTGCCCCAAAGGCGTCGGCGCTGGCGTCGCCCAAGATCGTCAAGAATGCAAAGGGCAATATTGTGCCGAGCAGCCAGATGGCACATATCGCATATGGATGCGGTGAGCATTTGGCCATACGAACTCTCAGACACGAGGTTACTGATTCCACGCAGAGCACATGGGCGAAATGTTCGAGAAGGCGCGCAAGCAGACACTCCAGCACTACCGGGCCATCCTCCAGAACATCCACGAGAAGCCAAGCATAATAGCGCAGACATACAATGCGCCAGCGGAGGCGCGCAACGTCGTGTCACTGAGACCGCTCTTTCTGTGTCTGCAGTGCCCGAGCATCATGACCGAGGCGGATCGGGATCTGCACTTTGAGACCAAGTCACACTGTTTCTGTGGGTTCAGCAGGACGCCGTATAGATGCAAAGGCTAACGAGAAGCAGCCGTGGAATCACGAGATGGCAACATCTACTGTGGAAACTGCCAGGACTTCATCTACGATGAGGCCCTGGATGTCCTTAGAGTGCAGAAGGGTACGCATATGGCTTTGTTCTATCACAGGGGCCAGCGTTGGCTGACTGCATGCAGGCAAGAAGCGAAAGTACGAAGACACTACCACGACCGAAGACCACAAGCTCGTCATAAGCAACTCGACCTTTCTCCCCTGCCGAGCGATAGGCCTGCGCGGGCTCTACAATATGGGCCAGACGTGCTTCATGAGCGTCATCCTACAAACCCTCGTCCATAACCCCTTCATTCGAAACTTCTACCTCTCCGAAGGACACAAGCAGACAGAATGCGACAAGGAATCATGCGTCAGCTGTGCGCTGGACGAAATGTTTGTCGAGTTCCACTCAGCTGAGAAGACGGAGGGATTCGGGGCCGTGGGCATGCTCATGGGCAGCTGGCTAGCTGGAGAAGCCCTCGCAGGATACCAACAGCAAGATGCGCACGAGTACATGCAGTTCATACTCAACACGCTGCATCTGGCAAATGGCGGGTCGGCAGATGACTCGGAAGATTGCAGATGCGTGGTACACCAGACGTTTTGCGGGAAGCTTTCAAGTACCGTGACATGCGACAACTGCCGGAATGTTACCA